AGATGGTACGTCCTTTTGAACTATGTTGGGGTATGGCTGTATCTATGTATTTATATATCTATGGTTTTCAAGTAAGGACGAGACCTCTAGCGGCAATAAAAAAAACTTAAAAGGCTAATGAAATTTCTGAAATAAGTATATTAATGGCCGTTTGCACCGACAACATTTAAGTGGAGCTTAGCTTAAAATCCATGGCAACCATTGCCTCAATAATCGTTGCCATGGATTTTAAGCTACGCTTAAGCTAAGCTCGGCTTAAATTCGTCGGTGCAAACGGCCATAAGTGGTACTTCTCTGTTGCCTGATATTTATTTCTAAATGCATTCCGAGATGCATTCAGTATAATTACTCAACCAACAATAAAGAGGTCATCTTGATCTGTTGTCACACAAGATTTCGTAGCCAATGTAATTTTGTAACCAATATTAAGAAACACTTTGGAGCACATCTATTACACATGACACTTCCGAGGATTGCCACCAAAGTTATTTATCCATCATTATTACACACTAATTGAGTAATTGCGATGGCACTTCTATAATTCAAGTATGAAGCGTATGTCATTTTCAAACTCGGCGGTAATTCTTATGACGTCATTGGGATAAAAACGTCATCTGCGTTTAGTTATAGGCATACCTTGTCTTATTGTACCATGTCTAAAACGGTGCTGACAACATGGGGGAGGGGAAACTCTGAATCGCAGATTGACCACATAATAAGGACGAAATCAAAAGAAATAGGCATCATGAACACAGTAGGCATATGGGCAAAAACAGTAGGATTGGACCACAAAATAGTAAGGGGAAAAGTAAAAAAGGAGGGGAGGAAGAGAGGAGGAAGAAAAAGACAAGGAGCAAACCGGGAGAACCGAATGGTGGGAAGTGAAACTCCTGTCAAGGGAGGAATACCGAAAGGAGCAGGACGAGATCAGAAGCAAAAAGGGGGAAGGAAGACCATCTTGGAACAGGATCGCCGAAACGCTCAAAGAAGCAGCAGGGAAAACCGAGGGGAAAACATTCGGGAAACAGAAACCGCCCATGTCACCGAACAGGATACGAGCCATGGATAATGACAGAAGAGCAAACAAGAGGTTTGGGCAAAACCCACACAAACCTGAAACAAAGAAAGAGCTAAGGGAAGCTAAGAAGGAGAAAAACAGAGCCTTTGAGCAACACGAAATCAAAGAATTCGTGGAGAACATCGCCAAGCTCAGACCAATGGAGAGGAATGAGCACATAAAAAAAACAAAAGGAGGAAATGGAAGCTGGGCCAACCCTGTTTCACATGGAACACCACCATAGACCAAACGGGCACGGCCTCGGGGATTCCCATGGGAAGAGTGGAGCAGAGACAAGCATCAAATGAAGAATGAAAGCAGAAGAATACTAGAGGTGGAGGAAAAATCAGCAGGGTTGCCAAACAAAAACCCAACAAAAACCGGGTGGGTTTTTTTACAAAAACATTTCGTAACAAAAACCCGGGTTTTATAATTTTTGGATTTTTGCAATGGATCTGGTTTTTTTTCTGTATTTTCATTAACAAGCACTTCATACAACCTTTATTTGACATTAAGCCATTAATAGACATACATTACATAAATATAACGGAAAAGTCTTCAACTAGAAAAAAAATAATACTTCAACCTTACAATGATAAATTATTACATGTTCGCTTTTTAACTTTTTATAAAGAAGAGGACGCGGACGTGAACGTTTATTTGATTTTTTGAACCAACATAACCCTAAACTTTTACAGTTTAGCTTTGAGGTGTTTGTTCTATCCTGTAACAGATGGCGTCGCAATAATGCGGACGATAATCATACAAAAACCCAAAACCTCAAATGCCCATGGGTTTTATACAAAAACCCGGGTTTTTGCCAACCCTGGAATCAGACATAAGAGGGGACAGAAAGTAACGCCAGGGATAGGACAACAATAAAAAGGGGAGGAACACGGGGGAAAACACGGAAGGGAACGATACCAAAGGATAGGAACATCTTAACGTACCCGTTCGGGCCCGATAACACCCAGTTAGCCCCCCCCCCCCCCAATCCACAAAAAATCCACTACATTGTTTGGCATATGTCGCGGCCCAGCGCGATGGCAACAAAGTAGTGGTGAAGTGTCTACCAGGGACGCATCCCCACGACAGTTGACTAAAGCTTGGGAGAGGCGGTGACGCCAGGCATATGTCAAAGTATCAAGTATCTAAGAAATTTCTAAAAGGAAAAACAAATACTGAAATACAAATTTAAACGTAGCAATCACACTTTGTGTACACTTAAAAATTGAAATACCTCACATACAGGGTGGCCCAACCTTATTGAAGGTGCTGAAATCAAAATAACGTCTCCGTGACGTAGTTTACATAACAGTATATCTGGAAGAGATTAAATAAAACAAATTAAAAAATAATACTTTTATTAAATATCGCATTTCACAGCACACGTTTGTGTTAAATGTGTTGCTTGACAGTTGTAAGTATACGTTTTAAAAACATCCAATATAAAACCCATTCTTAGTTCTGATACAAACTCTCTTATACATAGTCGGCTGGGCCTTTAATTAAAAACGCTTTTTGTACTGGTTTTAACTGACTTGCGCCCAGTTGGATGGGCCGATTTGATTCGCCAAGGTCTTGGCGTCGATTCTCTGGTAAAGCATGTGGTGTGGGTGGAGTAGGAAGGAGCTCTAAGCCCAAACTCAGCCCACTTTAAAATAAAAAAGTGGGATGGTCTAAGTGACTCAAGGTTTTTTTGCTGTGAAAACATGCTTAAATTTAAACCTTTGTTTCTAGGTTCGATGTCGAATCCAAACATGGCGCATTTTACACGGGCGGAAACTTGGAATGGCACCACAACCTCCTCTTCTGCCAAAATAAATCGTCCGTCTCACTTCTCGACATCGACAAGGGTGTAGTTGTACTCGAGGTAGGAGAGAAGTATTCTGAAGCCTCGGATCTCGTGCAAACGTTCACGGCCGATAGGGATCAGGTCGTGACTTCTCACAAGAGCGGATCTATAAAACTTTGGAAACACGACGGTGCACTTGTGAAAACCTGGAAGAGTATTCATAAGGGGCCGATCGTTCGACTGGTATTAAACGGAAGTCTGTTGGCTAGCGGAGGGTCGGATGGAAATGTGAGAATTTGGAACATGGAAAATCAAATGTGCGTTCTCGGTTTGAAGGGATTATTTGGAATTGTCAATGTTGTAGAATTTCATTCGGGTCGAGAATTGGTGTTTGCTTCCGGTGACGATGGCAAAATCGCAACATGGTGTTTAAAGACGGGGACATCGATGGTAACGTACAACGGCCACTTTAGTAAAGTGACTGCAATTACGTTTCACGAGGATACCCAGCATTTTGTCAGTTGCGGGCGAGATAGAGTGATAATGTTATGGACTGTTGGAGTGGCGACTGCGGTACGCGTTGTACCGACATACGAGACATTGGAAGATATAGTTTTCTTACCAAACGTATTGAGAATAACGGCGAAAGGGGGCGTTGACAGTGAGGGGATGCATGTTGCCACAGTTGGCAGTAATGGACTGGTACGAATTTGGGACATGGGTAAATCCGCGGAAATTTTTGTACAAACAAATTCGTTGGTGTCGAAAGCGAAAGAGGACGGTCGCTTGGCTATTCAAAAATTATTGTTTGACAAAGAGAGAGATATGTTCGCCGTAGTGGCGGCAGATCAAACCATAGTTTTGCACGAATTAACCACTTTCAACGTCGTTAAACAGTTTGTGGGCTTTTCCGATGAAATCTTAGATGTGGTTTTTGTGGGCAAAAATGATTCTCACATTGCCGTAGCTACGAACTCTGAAGACATTAAGCTATACGAAAGTGCAACAATGAACTGCAATCTTTTGAAGGGCCATACTGACCTGGTACTAGCACTAAGTGCATCTAAAGTAAATTGCAACTTGCTACTCTCGTCTGCGAAGGACAACACGATCCGACTGTGGCGCTTGTTTGAAAAAGGAATCTGCGAATGTGTCGGAATTGGCATGGCACACACCGGGTCTGTCGATTCAATAGCATTCTCGAATTTAACCGCTACTTTTGCAATATCCGCTAGTCAAGACACCTGCTTAAAAGTCTGGGAGCTGCCTTCAAAGTTTGAAAAAAATTCGAACTTGCTATGCAAGTGTACAGAGGTTGCTCATCAAAAAGGGATTAACTCGGTGGAAGTGTCTCCAAACGACAAGATAATTGCCACCGGTTCTCAGGATAAAACCGCAAAGCTGTGGACAGACTCCCTGGAGTTGATAGGCGTGTTACATGGACACAAACGTGGAATTTGGTGCGTGCGATTCTCACCAGTCGATCAAATAGTACTAACATCGTCTACAGATGGCGCGATTAAGTTATGGTCTATTACAACATTGAACTGTTTAAAAACATTTGAAGGTCACGATGCGAGTGTCCACAGGGCAGAATTTATATCAAATGGAATGCAAATTTTAAGCGGAGGGGCAGATGGATTAATTAAACTTTTTAACATCAAAACGGCGGAGTGTGTAAATACCTTTGATCAACATGAAGCGCGTGTGTGGACTTTAGCAATAAATCAGAATGAGACCGGTTTTATAACGGGAGGAGCAGACTCTTTCCTCATCAAGTGGAAGGATGTAACGGAAGATCGCCTACGTGAAAAAGCAAACGACGCGAATAAGCGAATTTTACAAGAGCAACAAATAAACAACTATTTACAAAACGACGAATTACTGAAGGCACTAACACTAGCGCTTAATTTAGCCAGACCATTTCAAACATTAAAAATAGTTCAACTAATCATAAAAAAGGGGGACTACGGTTTGACGGACACAATACACCAGTTAAGAAACGACCAAAAGGATGCCTTATTGAAATGTGTAACTGATTGGAATACTAATAGCCATAACTGCCATTCCGCGCAGCTAGTTCTGAATATACTAATGAAGGAAATGCAAACTGGTCATTTTTGGCCAGTTGGTTTAAATAACGCAGTTGAAGAAATTTTGCCCTACACAGATAGGCACTTTAAGAGATTAAGTAAATTAATGCAAGATTTACATTTTATAAATTATACCATTAATTGTATGCAACCTCATGCTAAAAATAAATAAATGTTTTTGAAATTCTCAGTACTGCTAACTTACTGGTTTAAAATTTTGCGAGATGCGTCCCAAAAGTCCCACATAGAAAATTCAAAGGGCTGTAACTTTTGAACTAGTAGCCCAATCTTGTAACTGTTTGAAATTATGGATTCTACAGGCCACATTCAATAAGAAACATTTTTTCCGGGTCGATCTGAGACAATTTTTTTTCGAGAGCCTCAAAAAAAGGCAGTTTCCTTCCTTTTTTACAAAAAATCGACTACACTAAAATTTCTCGGGAGAACACTTTTTCTTATTAATTTTGGTGCGTAGAATTCAAACCAATTCGTACTTTTTCGATCAGACTTCTCAATCAAAAGTTATAGACTAGAAACCAATTTCGAAAGAAAATTCAAAGGGCTGTAACTTTTGAACTAGTAACCCAATCTTTGAACTGTTTGAAATTATGGATTCTACAGGCCACATTCTATAAGAAAATTTTTTTTCCGGGTCGATCTGAGACAATTTTTTTTTCGGGCCTCAAAAAAAGGCAGTGTATATAAACCTTCCTTTTTTTACCAAAAATCGACTACACCAAAATTTCTCGGGAAAACACTTTTTCTTATTAATTTTGGTGCGTTGAATCCAAACCAATTCGTACTTTTTCGATCAGACTTCTCAATCAAAAGTTATAGACTAGAAACCAATTTCGAAAGAAAATTCAAAGGGCTGTAACTTTTGAACTAGTAGCCCAATCTTGGAACTGTGTGAAATTATGAATTCTACAGGCCACATTCTATAAGAAAATTTTTTTCCGGGTCGATCCGAGACATTTTTTTTTCGGGGCTAAAAAAGGCAGTGTATAACCTTCCTTTTTTACCAAAAATCGACTACACCAAAATTTCTCGGGAAAACACTTTTTCTTATTAATTTGGGTGCGTAGAATCCAAATCAATTCGTTCTTTTTGATCAGACTTCTCAATCAATAGTTATAGACTAGAAGCCAATTTCGAAAAAAAATTCAAAGGGCTGTAACTTTTGAACCAATAGCCCAATCTTGGAACTGTTTGAAATTATGGATTCTACAGGCCACATTCTATAAGAAAATTTTTTTTCGGGTCGATCTGAGACAATTTTTTTTTCGGGGCTCAAAAAAAGGCAGTGTATAACCTTCCTTTTTTACCAAAAATCGACTACACCAAAAATTACAAAAATTTCTCGGGAAAACACTTTTTCTTATTAATTTGGGTGCGTAGAATCCAAATCAATTCGTACTTTTTCGATCAGGCTTCTCAATCAAAAGTTATAGACTAGAAACCAATTTCGAAAAAAATTCAAAGGGCTGTAACTTTTGAACTAGTAGCCCAATCTTGGAACTGTTTGAAATTATTTTTTTTCCGGGTCGACCTGAGACAATGTTTTTTTCGGGGCTCAAAAAAAGGCAGTGTATACGGCATTTATGAAATAACATACCTACTCTACTTGTTGCATTAGCAGCGGTGCAGATTGCATGCAACCTGAAGCTGAGTGACGTGAGTATCCCAACAAACACCATTTAAATTAAAATAATTATTTGTGCTCCATAGGTACAGTATATTTGTGTATATGCCCCTCTAACAATGTGATTATTGCTCCTACCTAACATGATCTTAATTGGATAGAATTTTTGCCATTTTTTGTACAACAGGAAACATATTTCCACTTTATTTCCCATTAAATATTTTACTTGGATCCGAATTATTTTCACCTTTTACTTTTTCTAAAAGGGCCAAAGATTCACCGTTTGGTGGTGTTTGGCTATTTTGGTTCAACATTTGCTTAATTTAGTTCGTTTTTCGGCAAACTCTACTATGCTTTACGGATGAAATCTAGAATAACTATCGAACTGTTTCAGTTGTATCAATATTCTAATCCTTCCTTTAAGTTCATTTTCAGTTTCTGTTTCATTTTAATTAAATCCACGTTTCTAGTTTTATGGAAATATGCAATTACACTTCCTTTACCTAAAAGGAAACAAGTCGACTGGTTTAATAACCTGTAAGTATAGTTCAGAGTGAAAGAAATGTATGGATTTTAACAAAAATCGCAATGTCAGTTAGGATTTAGACCAGTTTCCTTATCACTTTAATAGTATAGGTACGTTAAAGCTTTTGACTATGTTAATCGTCATGTTTCCTATTGAAATTATTTTTTCTGGAAACACAGTACCTACCTGCCATCAATAAAAACATAGTAATGATATCTTTTTTGCATATCCACGTTGAAGACTCTATGCCGAGCTTTGTTGCTATACCATTTAATTGTTAGTTCTCTGGCTACCAAAAACATCTATAATTCTTATTCAATATTTCTGATGTGATGCATCTTTCCTCAGATCCTCTAAAGGGCATATCAATTTTGCTGCATATGGTAGTTCTTAGATCCGCAACTACCGCAAATTGATCTTATTTTTCACTAGGTATTTTAGTAACTCATGGGAACTCGATAGCTCGTGCTTCAAAGCAGGGCCCATAGTCTTAATCGTCATTGGCCATGTAGAAGTTTTGAAAGAAACGCTTGTAGGTATTTCGGAGCCAAATGATTGTAATTGTGAAATTAGTGATCATCGCACGTAATTTCAATAATCTGGCAGCAAATCGTGTTGATATTTCGTTGCAATTCATGAATTTTTCAACTTGTTAGCAAGATCTCCGTCCCCTTTATATGTAAAAACGGGGGCTTATGCGAAATGTTGATGCTCGCGGACACTTATACAAAAAGTGTTACTATAAATAAACTTTTCGGCTTGTTTGTTTCTTCCCGGAATGTCTAGGACGAAACTGTCTTGGAGATTGCATTTGTCAAGGCTTCGGCGTCATGTCGAACTGATTAAGTACTACTCCTTGAATTGTTAGCATATTTAAAACAAATGAAGTTGGTATTTAGGAATGCCAACAGTTGTTTGGCATGCATGCCGCAAAAGCAATGTAGGTAGGTATACACAAAGAATCAAAACATTTTTACAAAGCGTTTCCCACAAAATGACTATGTGGTCTAGGAATTTTTCATATTTTCCATTAGAAAAAAAAGCTGCTTCTCATTCTGACACATCCTGGGGAAACCCGACATTCTTGTTGGTGTCAAAAGGCCATTAAAAATCTTACGTCGCGAGGTAAAAATTTCTGTTTCACAATTTTAAGAGCTAAAGAATTGTAGCGACCTTGTCTCAATTACCATACCACAGGTTTTCGTCAGTAAACTTATTAATAACATTGATTATTGCAAATTAATTTTAACAGGAAATTGGACGCAATAGGTGCAGGTTCTTTTGTTCTTTGGTGCCTAATCACGTAGGTACCACTTTAGATTAGACGAATTAAATGCCTTGAAGTAAGAATTGTACTTAGTTACAAATTAGGAGCACGTCTATACGTGTGAGCATTTGTGTCGGTTGTCCTAGAAACGAAGGAGTATAATACGTATATCGAATTCTTCAATAAATTCCTGGGTGTTGTTATTTCTTTGGATATTTGGGCGTGATGGCTAGTTGTGTTTTGCGTAATTCATATACTCTTCCTCTACCGAAACATTTGAAACATGCAAATGATTGATTGTAAATATCCAACTTAGGTGGATACTACAAGCTTGTAAAAATGAGCTACCTACTGATAAGAGAAACTAGAAAAATGATTTTGCCCGTCTTTACCTTTAATGTGGGTGCTTCTGAATGTATAGAAAGATTAATGGCATTGTATAGACAATGATGCGGTCACGCCGATGTTAACTTTTTTTTATTTCTATCGGCAGTAAATAATGCTAGGATTACAAGGAGCGATTATTGACACTAGATGTATACGCCTTTTTACATACTATCCTACCGTACCAGGAATGATCGGTATGGACCTACAAGCTTCTCGTGTATTTACATCAAGTCACGAAGTTCATCAGTTTTTAAGATCTTTTCCTATAAAATAATGTATGAGTTACAAATTTGTATTGACATTTGGTGCTAGCTATATGATGACCTCTGGCTTCTGAAGAAACGGTGCTTATTTATGTAGTTCTTGATATGATCAGAATATACCCACCTTTCTGGTGTCTGTCATGCTTTGAAGTTTATTTGATTGATTCTCAATAAGAAGGTGTTAGATATGGCGAGTTTTGTACGTGTAATAATTACATGTGCACATGTTTCTTCTCATCATCTTTCTTCAAATTCAAGACATATCTCCGTATATCTATTTCAAAGTCTGTTTTTAATGACCTAACTATATTACAGCATTAGATTAAAAAAACCTACAGAAAGTAATGCACAAGTACCTCCATCAAGCTGTAAAATAAGACATGATTCGCATGGATTTATATTCATCAGCTAAACACTGCAGTGAATAGATTTATGGGGTGTCACTTTCCCCTGCAATAATGACAAAAATCAAAACGTAATCAGGGGTAGCTAGTGATTGTCCAGTAATTCGTATTCAAAGACTAAATCAACAAATAAATATGAAATTATTGGTAGTGCCACAGCTCTTCATTTTCCGGATCTTCAGGTACTTATAAAGTATAAACAATCATTTACAAATCCGAATGAACTAATACACCAAAAATGCAAATTTAAAAAAATGTGCAAGGAAATAAGCAAACGAACGCTCCTGGGCATGGTTATAGTTTGCCATTGCTTATTATAAGTATATGGCTAAAGCTATGCTCATTTTGAATTTCATGCAATTGCCAATTCACGAACTCCGATTTACAAATTTGATAAAGAATCCACCTGCAAAATTTCACCGTAATATGTCCATTCAATATGGGTCAAACTTAAAATTAATCATACTTCATATATTATTGGTGTTGTCTACTTTCAACCGAAATCTGGTAACAAGTAATTAAAAATATAGCCTCGATGTACAACTTAAAACTCATTAATACAGTTAAAAACTGCAATAATAGAACCCTTGACCTAATTTTAATTAACTTAAACGCGGAAATTAAATCTGCTATCAACTCACTGGTTAAAATTAATCCACTTCATCCCGCACTAGAAATAGTCTACAAAGTCCATAGACCAA